TGCGTAGGGATCCTCCTTTCTCCTGAGAGCAAGGAAGCCTCCGAAGTGGGCAAAACAAAGACGTGACCAAATATGCAACTGGACAGGATCACTTTGGCTGCGGCCGTGGGGGGGAAAGCAGACAGGATGTGGGGTCTCCCGTTAAGAGGTCATTACAGTTAGCAAGCTGCAAATTTAGCAGAGAGAGGTGGATGGCCCCTGGCAATGTTTGGCAGGTGGTGGAAGATTAGCCGTGAGGAGTAGAGAGAAGAAGCATCGAGACACCTCTGAGGTTTGGGATCTGTGCCCTCAGAGGGAGGGCGGGCAGGGTGCCAGCTGGAGGACAGAAGCCTTGACCCTTGCTGCTGCCGTGCTCTGCCAGAACAGGCTCCTTGAAGGTAAGGACCAAAGTTAGCTCCCTCCCCAGCACCTGGCTCCTGACCGGACTACGACAGGTGCTAGGTCACGGTGGCCCTGAGATCTTTCAAGCCTCCAGGAGTTAGGAAAGAGCCTGAAAACACCCTGACCTGGCCAAAGTGCAGGGACATCGAGATTTAGTCTGGAAGCGAAGAGAATAGGGCTGAAAAAAATCTGTGGGGTTTCGACCATCAACTGGGACAGTGGCTCCCGGTTTTATCTGTCAGTTTCTCAAGGTGACTTTGGACTGCCTCAGCTCCCTCCCACCCTGGGTCCTTTCCCTCAGCTTCTCTCCTCCTCCATCGTCTCCACTCCCTCTCGAGCCTATTTCCATAGGCCACCCTGGAGGGGACACGCCAAGCTCCTTCCTACCTCGAGGCCTCTGCCGTCGAGCCCACCGCACCTCCCTGAGACCTCCTCATGCCTCCGTGCCACCTGTCACCTGCTCAGGTGCCTAATCCTGGATCCCCTCCTCTAAGTTCTTCATTCCTGGAGCGTCCTGCACTTTCCCTGGGTGGCCCTGCTCACAGCTGTCGTTAGTTATTGTCCTTGTCCTTTCATACCCCTCTGGGCAGTTTGTGATCCTTGGTGCCTAGGGCTGTGCTGGCCAGTTGCTGAATGAATGAATGGATGAACGCATGCATGAATAGGCGGGCAAGGCGTACGCACTCTTAGGTTTGGATCAGCCAACGACAAACTCATATTATCCAAGTGTTTTAGAAAGAAGAGATTTTGCTTCCCATCTCCGAGGCATAGCTGCATTTTATGAGGCGAAGTAAACCTGGGGCTAAAGGGATGCACCTCTTGTGATGGAGAAAATATTTTAAAAATATTAAATGCCTGCGGTTTTCATCCAAGCCCTCTATACATAACGTTGTCCACAGCCATTGTATCACGCTTGCTCCAGTGAAGGGTGAGTGCCACCTTGGGAAGGAAGGTGATATGAGGCAGGAGAAGTCCCTGCGGACCAGAGGGGGAAGGCCCTCCCGGCGAGCCATGAGAGGAGAATGAAGTGCATGGGCAGGAAGGGAGGCAAGCCAAGAGCCACCGGAGTTCCGACCGCCGTCCCCAGCGGGGCCACGTTCTCCACATGAGCCACCCCTCGAATGTGCAGGTGGGATGGGTCGTTGGGAGGCCTGGTCCTACGGGCAGGAGTCCACCCCAGCGACCGCTGGTGCCAGCAAGCACTCAGAGGGCACAGTGCGGATGTGACGTCCCCTCCCTCCAGTGCCGTAAGCGTGAGGATCAGAAGGGACGATGTCAACTGAGAGGAGACGCTCCAGCCTGAGGGAACAGAGCCATCTTTAATTAGGAAGCTCGCCCTATCCACTCCTGAACCAGGAATGACAGGAGGCTTCGGGGAGACAATAAGACCAAGCATCTGAAGGAAAACAGCAGGATTTTCTTTGGACAGTTAAGTGGCATTCTGACTCGCCCTCCTTCCGCACCCTCGTAAGCTCGCCCCTTAGGACCGGACCCGCTTGATATTACACGGTATGATGTCTGCCCGTTGGTGCCATCCCAGCAGCCACCCTACGGTCCCCAGCATGCCTCCTCCTCCAGGTTGTCCTCCTCTTCCATATCCTCTGTAACGAAGATGCCCAGCACTGAATGACTATCGTGGTCCAGTAGCAAACAGGAAGTGGGGGGTCTCGGGGCTGAGGCTCAGCTTCCCAGCCTCCCAGACTCTTTTACCTGATGCACAGGAGACAGCGGTGACCAAGGGGGGTGGTGTGGCAGCGTCCCTCCCTGCTTCCTTATACGCAAGACGGGTTTTCTCTGCCTCACCCCGTCCACACGCAGACGCCGGGTCCTCATTTTCATTCAGCTGGCGCCCCACAAATCCAGTACCCTTGGGCTCCTTAACCGAGCACACTTAACCCTTATCCTCTCGAGTGGCCGCTCTCGTCCACGAATCCCGTGATAACTGAGCAGGTCTTCCGTTCCTGGCTCATCCTCCAGCCCACTCCAATTACCCTCTGCTCCTCCTAGGAGTTAAATATTCCCGTCGTGACTTGACCCCCTTTGAAAATGTCTGATGGTCGTATCATAAAACAATGGCGAGGCAGTTTAATGGAACCTTCTTTTTTTAAGTGCGTACTGACATCCGATGCCGAATAATAATGCTTGGCACTCATGCAGAACTTTTCATCTTCAAAGCACTTGGCTGCCATTAAAGGCCGCATTTGCTGAAGATAGACTCGCTTTCCTGTGTCACACCGGATCCCATCAGATTGAATTTGGAGGGGACAGGGAGCAGGCGACTCCCTGGGAGCGCTGAGGGGTGCTTGCAAACAGCCTGAGAATAAGCACCAGGGAGCTGGAGGTAATTATCATTTCCTTTCTCATTCCTCACAATTGTGTCCCTGTCCTGCCTTCTCATTTCTATTTGTGGGCAGCACAGGTTAGGTTATGCTGCGGTAACAAGCAATCCCCTGACCTCAGAGGCTTAAGCTGTCAGAAGTTGATTTCTTTAAAAACAAAAATTTTTTTTAATGTTTATTTATTTTTGAGAGAGACAGAGACAGAATGTGAGTGGGTTAGGGGCAGAGAGAGAGGGAGACACAGAATCCGAAGTAGGCTCCGGGCTCTGAGCTGTCAGCACAGAGCCCGACGCAGGGCTCGAACCCACGAGCCGTGAGATCATGACCCGAGGTCGGCCGCTCAACCGACTGAGCCACCCAGGCGCCCCAGAAGTTGATTTCTGAGTCATCCTACAGATCCAGCGGGTCACCTGGGGCTCTGCTCCATATCTCCTCTGCAAAAGGGACCCAGAATATAGAAGTGGCCACCACTTGAAATGGCGACGAATGCCACTTAAAAAGGAAAGAGAGAGGGTGGGCAATCACACACACTCACGGGCTGTTAAAGCTTCCGCCCGGAATTGCCACATGTCACTTCTGCTTACAAGACATGGACAAACAAGTCACATTGCCACATCTGCCATAAGCCTGAGACCTATCACAGCCTCCTAAATATCTCTCTTGAACGTCCTCGACATTTCTACTATTCCCACCACGGCCAGCTTCTCTCCTTGCCTAGACTTCTGCAGAAGCCCCCAACCGATGTCCCTAATTTCACCTGTGCTTCTGTCCCCTGATCAGCTCTCCAGACTCCAGAGTGGGCTTTTCAGTATGCAAATCTTATTTCACTACCCTCACCTCACGTTAAACCGTCGCATTCCCTTTGCCTTGCTCTTCATCACGGCGGAGCCCTGACATGCCCACCAACCGCATCTCGGGCCGTGCTTCTCATTACTGCCCTTCCTTCTGACTCCTTGAACCACAGGTTCTTTGCCCTTGATGCCGTCTCCAGGTGGAAAGCTCCTGACCCCAACTCCGTTCCCCCAGGTAGCTCCCAGCCAGGCACGTCTTCTCCGGAGAAGTCTCTCTGATACTTGGCGAGCCCGCCATGAGCCTCTCTTGTATATCGCTCCCTGCAGCCAGAACTGTATTTCTGTGGAGGACTCATGGATTCAAAGCTCCACAAGGGCACGGACCTTGTTCTGTTTCTGCTCGGCTGTATATTCTCAGCCTAATGGTATAGCGCCTGGTGCTCCATAAATATTGATTGAATGAATACATGAATGAACGAGTGAAGGAACTTCAGTCTCTGCCATTTCTATCTGCCCAAATATCCACCTTATTTCAGGGTTCAGGTCAAAGGCAAAGCCCTTCGAGTGTACTTTCCTGTGATCCTTATCATGTTTCCTTATTCCACCGTCGTTGTGAACTTGTCTTTCCTTCCCCCATGGAGCCTGGTACCTTCAGAGCCTTGCCTGGTTTGACACCTAGCACATGGTTGCTACATGGACCTAAAGTAGCTAAACTCACCCTTTCCGGTTCCGATGCAGAATGAAGTCTGCGTGGCACGCCTGTCATACGTCACGGGGTGCGGCTCTGCCCGGCTCCCTGACTTCATGCTCGACTCTTCCTCTTTGCCCTGTTCGTCTTTCTCCGGCCACAGCAACCTTCTGGCTCTTCCTCAAGCAAACTGCAGGCCCTTTGCACTTGCTGTTTGCTCTTTCCAGAACACTCTATCCTCAGGTCTTTGTATGATTGTCTCCCTCACTTAATTCGGGTAACTGCTTAAATGTCACCTCTCCAGAAAGCTCTTCCCGATAAAATAATGGCTTACCCTAATTTCTCTCTCCCTAAAAATTGTTCTCTGCTTTTTAAATGGTTTGTTAGAGCTTTCAGTGTGGCATGCCGCATATTTATGTGTTTATTTTCTGACCCTTCACTGGGATGTATGTTCCACGAGGGTAGGAATCCTCTGTCTTGTTTGTCACGGTATCTTCAGTCTCCTCAGCTTCTAGAATGGTGCCTGGCAGTCAGGGGATCAAGGAACACCTGTGAATGAATGATTTTTATGATGTTGGTTCACTGGCTAGTTTTGTCACCTGGGGAGACAGTGACGAGACTTAACCTGATTGTTTGATGTTTTAGTTGTACGGGAACGGGTATTTTCTAGTTGTTCTCGTGAGAATAGGAGGCATTGTCTTCCAAATTTCAATCTATTTTTCTTTCCATTCCTGCCTGTCTTCCTGATTCTGGCTCTCACTTTCTCAACCAATCCAAGTCACATACATATATACACATACATCTACTCCGAACAACTTTATTAGATCATTAGCTGAGCTGATGGAAAGTTGACGCTCTTTGATTTTGTTCTTCATGTGTTGTAGATTTCAAACAAATTAAGTTAGTCCCAAGAAAACAAAGTATGAATTTTGCAATTTTCTGAGAATTATTGGAACCAGGTCTTCAACACGAGATACGAGTCTATAAATATTCTCAATGCTTAAAGCGGTAATTACATTTCGGTGCTGATTCGCACGTAAACGTTTTCGCCTTTCCGCCACATGCATGTTGGAGCGTACATATTTTTCTTTTTTCTTTTTTTTCTTTCTTTATTTCTTTTTTTTTTTATAAGAAAAGCACATAAAATACAAATTTTTCTACTTCAAAGTGGCGGCAGAGGAGTTAGAGTTCTAAATATTCTCTGATTTGGAATGGTGTTCCACTAGCATGAAACCAACGTTTCATCAAAGTGGCTTGCTTCAATCAGGGTTGTACCGGTGAGATATAAATTATAAATCATATCTCCTGTTTTACATGAGAAATGGGAGCTCTGAGGTGGATCGTGGTCGAACAGATGGACTCGAGGTAGTTTCATGTCTTCTGCTGCTTATGTTTTGCTTCTAATGTCATTTTCAAAGATTCCATCATTAACTTCAGAGGCACTCAGGCAAGGTTCTTTCAACAACTAAATATGGGTTTTGGCAAGGGTTCCAGCAGCCAAACAAGGCAGGGTGGCCCGGGGTAGCACAAACGGGCCAGAGGGGTGGGCACGGGGAAGGGGACTGAGCAAGGGACAGAGAAGGGACATCCCCCCACTGCCTTCCCAGCGCCGTTCCCTTAGAGAGGGAGTGTCAGGAAGGAGTATCGGACGGACTCTTGGGTCCAGTTTCGTCTGCGACTCATTGTTAGCTGTGGGCTTCAGCTTCCCGGCTATTCAGTTTCTAGAATACAAGGAGCTTGGACCAGATGCCGCCGTACGGATCGCTCTGCCGTGGTTCCGCTGTACGATTTGTTAACCGTTGAAATTCTGTTCGGTAAGAAGTTTCTGAGAGCTGCGGTAGCAAATAGCAACGGGCCGTGTGGCTTTAGCTCACCGTTCTGGAGGCTAGAAGTCCAAAGTCAAGGTGCTCGCCCTGAAGGATTTAGGAGGGAGTCCTTGCCTGCGTCATCTGACTTCTGGTGGTCCCAGATGTTCCCTGGCTCGTGGCTGCATCAGGCCAATCTCTGCCTCTGTCTCTACATGGATGTGTTTCTCTGTGTCCTCTCCTCTCCTTATCAGGACAGCAGCCATGGGATTCAGGGTGCATCCTTAGCCTGTTTCCAGATAAGACAACATTTCTGAGGTTGTGGGTGGACACGAACGGGGGCCAAGGGAGATACTATCCAGCACATAACACCCCTGAATGCCTCTGCTGTCTTGGCTTTCTTGTCTCCTCCCTTGGACTCCATGAAGTTCCCCTGAACCCAGCAAGTGATGTGTTCATTCATGGCACAGCAGGAGACCTAGGGACCCTGCTCCCGGGCTCTGGGCAGGACTGGAGGATCCCAAGGGCTCTGGCTGCTCCAGCACGCTGACCCAGTCAAGCAGCAAGGACAGCATAACGAGAGAGCAGGGATGAGTCCGGTGAGGACCAAAGAGACGTCAGATGTAGACAGAGGGAAGAGGATGGATGGGGGGGGGGGGGCGGTGGATATCCTGGAAAGACTGGGCTCCAGTGTCATGGTGTGTACGTGTGTGTACATGAGCGTGTGTGCACGTGTAGCCAGTGGGGGCGTGTGCCGAGAGTAGCCTCTGCTCGGCCAAACTGGATGCCTTTGCTATGTGTCTGGGCAAAGAGTGCTTTCCTGCACCTAAACATTTGCCCATGCTGTTTCTCTGCCCGGAATGTTCTTCTACTTTCTCTCAAGCTATATTCTTTATCCTTCAAGGCTCTCTGGGATTTTGCTCATGCCTGTTGTGCCAAGACTGTATTCCCCATCCTTCCTCTGTTCTGCACTGCAAGAGAGGGAGAGTGGGAGAGAGAGAGAGAGAGAGAGGGAGTCAGAGAGCCAGAGACCTGCAGGCTACACGTCCCCAGGTCCTGAATCAGCTGGCCTCCAGCTGGATTCAACCAGCGGGAAGGACTGCAGAGGCCTGGAGGGGGTGGGAGGGTAGGCAGAAGCCTTCATATTTCTCCCTTTCCTCCCCTGCTGCTGCTGGAACTTCACAATCCCATATCTGGCTTATTTCTATCATTGGTAACCAATTTCCTCCAAAAAATTCCTTCTGTTTTAAGTACTCAGGCTGTTTGACTGAAATACCGTTCCTGTAGCCCCAAAACACGCTGCCCAGCCATTTCTTTATTTACCTCTCTGCCTCCCCAACGGGATGGTGAACTGGTAGAGGGTAGGACCCGTGTGATGTTATTTTTCGAAACTTCCCCCGTCAGAGCCTTCCTCTCCCACCCAACCTTGTCCTGTTTTTTGGTGCATAGGGAGGTCACGGTAAATGTCTGTTGACTGAATGAATAAGCGATAGAAAAAAACAAGCTTTCCGGGAGATTGTCACTGGCAAGCCAGACATTGTCTTCCATTTCCTTGACACAACTTACAAGAGTCTGTTCTTTGCCTACAGAGCACTTATCATAATGTAGGATCGTGTAGCTATTTGACGTGTATTTGATTGTCTGTCTCTTCATCTTCCAGGAACAAAGCTTGGGGTAATTTTGTTTAGCTCGCTGCATCGTCCCAGCACGGTGCCTAGCAGAGAGCAAGTGCTCTGTGAACTCTTTGTTAAATGAATGACGGGTGGCCCGGGGAGGCCTTCCAGATTTCTAATTGCTTTGAACTTAAAAAAGAAAACTTAGTTCCACCTACTTTGGAATACAAGGGAAAATGTGTTAGAAAATAAAACTGAAAGACAAAGAAAGTGTTGGCGTTACCAAATAATATTTCCTTTTGCTCTCACAGACTACTAGAGGCCCGATCCACTTTGACGTTAAAGATACCTGTTAAACAGGGAAGGATAAAGATTATGTTTCCTGGGGCACCTGGGTGGCTCGGTCGGTAAAGCGACTGCCTCTTGATTTCAGCTCAGGTCTCGATCTCGAGGTTCACGAGTTCAAGCCCCGTCTGCACTGACCGTGTGGAGCCTGCTTGGGATTCTCTCTCTCTCTCCCTCTCCCTCTGCCCCTCCCCGACTCATGCTCTCTCTCTCCCTCTC